TTTTTTTTTTTTTTCTTCTTCTTTTTTAACCCAGCTTTAAAGCGTGACAAGTCTCTTTTTCAAAAATATGAGAAAAGCAATAATCCACAAAAGGTGCATGCATATTGCTCAAGTTTGTCAGTGCATGTGAATTTTGCTCAATTTCGGTCAACCTTTAATTCAGAACCTCACCGAAAGCGTCGAATAAAATAATGTTGTCCCTGGCATCAACAATATGTTTTCTTATATAAAACCAACCTACCAAGGTATTCTGTAGATGTATGGATCGTCAAACTGAGTTAACTCTGACATTTACTGTACAAGGATAAGAGCCATATGTTGACTAGAGGAGTAAATGAGCCACGTGACGTGATAGTTGAGCTCGTTTCCAACCTTCGTTGTTAAGTTAATAAGTCGATAAATGAGCTCGGACCTTAACGAGCAAAACTGTAGAAAATTACACAAAAACTTATATTTTCAAGCCTTAACGAGCTCGGGCTTAGCTCATTAACTAAAGGAGCACAAAGGCGGCTCGTTTATTAGCTCTTATGTAGAATGTTGACTCGCTACAGCACATGAGAAAGGAGAAACTGAGAAAAATGGCACCACAAAGAGATAACAAGATAATGACAAATCATCAAAACCAAACTAAAAGCTGGTGGAAGGCAATGAAAATGATTAAGATAGAGGCATAAAAACCTTATTAATAAATAAAATAAAATAAAATCAAATGTTCAGGTGGCTATAAAACTAGCCCCAGACTGGCATGATTATCCCACAATTTAAGGGTGAAATTTATACATTCCTAATCAAGTAAACGAAAAATCTATGGAGCTATCGGATGACTCCTTTATGGAGTCATGCATAACTTCATGTACTGACACATGTCCAATGTGTATTTGTTGCACGTGTCAATGCATCATTTGTGAATAACAATGGATGACTCCATAAGCCGAGCAATCTGATGGTTCCATAGCAAAATCGATCAAGTAAAACTATGTGATAATGTTACATGACAGCAATTCATGTTAATACCCAAATGGCTCGTAATTTTAGCCGAAAGACAGTTATACTACTACAACACGTACTCTGAGCCGTTTATTTTTTCACATGGATCCAAAAATCATGCAGTCACTTTCTTGGCTGTCACGGAGTTGATAATGGTTGCAAATTCTGGACCCTGAAAAAAAAAAAATCATCGAATCAGAAGAGCTTCAAAAATCCAACGGAAAGTAAGAAAGATAAAAAGGTAAAAAAACAAAAAAGAAAAACAACGACAAAAAAACTTTGCATCAGACAGCATCATGGGAAGTGATCCATCAATCAATTGAATGAAAAAATCCAACTTTTTAGTTCTATTGTTCTAATTTTTATTGATCTAATATATTTTATAGTTTCTTCTGATTTTTTTTCCTGGGCTTACAAAAAATTTATAATTTTTTTGGGTGTTTTGGGTTTGAGATCTTTAAGTTTTAATTTTAATTTCTTCAACTTCTTTTTTCCATTCTTTGGTAATTATTAAATTATTTTTATTTTTAACATTTAGTTTTAAGTGATTGGCACGAGTGAACATAAAATTAATAATAGTCACAAAACTCATCACCAAAAANNAAAAAAAAAAAAAAAAATTGAGATTGTACCTTAAGAGACACACCACCCACAAGAAATCCATCGATATCTTCTTGTTTCGCAAGCTCGTCACAGTTCCCACCATTCACCGAACCTGTAGAAATTTATTTGAGAAACAAAACAAAGACAACTCCAGCAAGCTGACATAATCATGTTTGCGCATTAACAATCCTCAGATTGAGTTAACCTTTGGAGGAATGCACTTATTTCCATTACTTATATGGTTAATGTAGTTAAATGGCAGCCAACAGAGTGTAATAAAATTGAGATATAAGCTAACCTCCATAGATAATACGCGTTTTAGAAGCAACTTTTGCTGACACATTCTTACTCAACCAATCACGAACAGCAACGTGCACTTCCTGAGCCTGCTCGGATGAGGCCACCTTACCGGTTCCAATAGCCCATACAGGCTCATAGGCAACAACATATTATCCCAACTAGGGACAGCATCTGCACATGATCAAAACCCATATGAATAGTGAAATAATGAATCAATTAAGAACAAATATGTTATATATATAGGATGTGGTTCAAATGAGAACCAAGTCTTGATAGTGTGAGAACAGTGAAACCACTATTTTTTATTGTACGTAGTGCTATGATTATGATTGATTGTGTTTTAGCATTATTTTTAACCATGATCCATGTTATTAAAAATACCAACACGATTTATATTAGCATTTTCACAAAATGATAACACCATATAATATTAAAAATAGCATCATACGCAATTAAAAATAACATTAAATACGATTCTCACACCAGGACTAATTTTTATTTGAACCAGCCCCTATATATTGCTATATTTTTTATAAGTGTATGATGCTATTTTTAATATTATATGACGCAATCATTTTCATAAATGTCAATATAAATTGTTTTGGTAGTGTTAATAAAATAAATACTGGTTAAAAATACCACTGTAACACAATCGATCCTAGCAATACGTACAATTTAGCGGTTCTCACAGTACTCACGCTAAAAAGACTTGGTTGGCATTTGAACCGCATCCTATGTTATATATCAGAGAGAGAGAGAGAGTGTGTTTCCACATGCCGGCATAAGCCTTCATCTGTTGGAAACAAATATCAAAAGTTTTTCCAGCTTCTCTTTCTTCCAACAACTCGCCAATGCACGCTATTACTTCAAGACCCTCGCTCAAGGCATACGCAGCCTTCTTACCAATGAACTACACAAGGTTGAACTTGATCAAGCTTTGAAACATATAGCAACATTTGCAAGAACTATAGGAGTAAGTTGCAAAAAAAAAAAATTCTTTTGATTCATTTTTCTAAATAATTTATGCAAAAATGGAAGAATATTTCAGTTTATCTCACTTGGTCATCTTCCCCGATTATATGTCTCCTCTCAGAGTGCCCCAGAACAACCCACTTGAAACCAAGGTCCTTCAGTTGTTCTACACTGCAATATATACACGGGTTACTGGAAATTCCATGGGAAATAAAATGCAGGAGATTTCATCAAAAGAAGCAAACAAAATGTAGTATTAAATATTTACATTCAACAAGCATAATGAGCAAATAAAATAGCCAAGTAATCAGAATACATAATTGTGAGAGCATCTTTAATTCAATGGTGGATTTGTTCTCATGTGCCACATTAATAGGCCGTGCCTCATAATGATGTGGTGGTGTAGTGTGCACCATTTTTATTTATCACTTCTATGCACAATATTTAGGAATAAAAGAAACTTGAATATGAAAATAAAAATAATTTATGTTGTAAATAACAAGTTCCACTTTATTTTGTTTTCGCTTTGCA